TTGGCTGCATTGGCTGCAGTGGCTGCATTGGCTGCATTGGCTGCATTTGCTGCAGCGGTTTCAACGGCTGCAGCGGCTGCAGCGGCTGCAGCGGTTTCAACGGCTGCAGCGGCTGCAGCAGCGCCCCCAGAGAAGGAAGCATCTCTCCCACTTTTTCGAAGGACTGGAAGAGGCTGGGGAGCTGCCTGTGCTGCTGCTGTTGCTCTTTTTGAGGCTGCTCCTCTTGCAGCTGCTCATGCTGCAGTGAATGCTGCTCTCTTTGCTGTTCCTGCCGTTGATCTTGTTCATGCTGCTGCAGGTCTTTCTGCTCCTGCTGCTGCTCCTGCTGCTGCTTCTGCTGCTGGTCCTCTAGGTGTGAGCGTTGGCTTGACTGGGGAAGCTGCTGCTGGCTGGCTTCTTGCTGCTGCAGCGGCGTTGCAGGCGTTGCTTCTGCACTGTCGCCCTGGTGTTTCTGGTGTGGCGCACTAAGCTGCTGCTGTTTCAGCTGCTGCTGCTGCTGTTTGCGGAGCCTCAGTTGCTTGCCCGTGAGTCTCTGTTGCCTGCGCAGTTGGGCTCTTTCTTGCTTCTCTCGGACGCGTTCTGCTGCCCTTTGCTGCCTCTTCAGCTTCCCCTGCATGCTGCGCTGCAGCAGCAGTAGTGCGCGCCTGCGGCCCCGAGATTCTGCAGCTGCATCTCCCCTTAAGGGGCAATCTGGCAGCCCCGTAATGGCCTGGGCAAAGGGCACGAGCTGCCCGTGTCTTTCGATTTCCTCGCGGGTCCGCTGCCTCCTTAGGAGCCTTTCTTGGGGGCTTTCTTTGTCTGCTGCTGCTGCTGCAGCAGCTGCTGCAGCAAAGCCGGCGCTGGGAGTGGCTGCTGCCGCGGCAACAGCAGCAAGCGCCGTCTCAGCAGGGGGAGAGGCCCCCATAGCAGCGAGCGACCCCGCAGCAGCAGCAGGCAGCAGCTTCAGCTGACACGTGTGGTGTGGGGCCCCCCTGTAGACCCAAACGCTGCAGTGGAGGTTTTTGTCGCAGTGAGACTGACAGGCTGCTGCGCTGCTGCAGTCCTCTATGGGGGCCCCCAAGTCGTGCTCCAGCAGGGCCTTGCCGGGCCACAGGCACAGTAGGGGGCGCTCAGGGGGGCAATCGTTAGAGCTGCTGCTGCTGCTGCTGCTGCTGCTTTCACTTCTGGCCGTGTCTGCGCGGCTGGCTGTTGTGGCTGCTGGCCCGGGCTCGGACGGAACTTCAGCTGCCTTGCGAAGCTGCTGAAGCGGTCCCTCGCTCCCCTCATCCAGTTGCTGCTGCTTCTGCTTCTGCTGCTGCTGCTGCTGCTGCTGCTGCTGCTGCTGCTGGCTTTCTGGGTGGCAGCACCTGGGTCCGCTGACGTACTCGGGCACGGCGCGGGGCAGCAGCAGCCACTTCAAGAGGCAGACCCGCTGGCGCGGCAAAAAGGTGTAGCCCTCGCAGGCCTCGGCTTGTGCGCAGTGGCTTTGGCACTGGCGCGAAGTCAGTGCGGCCTTGCGGGCGAGGTCGTGGCCGTAGAAGTCGGTCTTGGGCTCTTCGCAGTGGTTGGGGGGTGGTGGGGGCCGC